TCGTATTTCACAGGATCCCAGTCCCTGCTCTGGTGAGAACATACAGCGGGTAGGGATGTGAGGCTGTGGACCTGTAGATAACGGCTTGGCAGTACTATGTAGGGGCCGCGTGCGTCGTTGTAATCCCACCTCATGCTCAGCCTTCTTGTCATTGGTTTGTCTTTTATCGAGAAGGGCAAAAACCTCTCTTCTCAGCCTTACCTCATATTTTTTCTTGCTCATCTACCACATGCACATGACCATCAAGTTGAAAGCTCTTCGATGCGAATAGAGAGGCAGCTATCTCACGACACACCGTCAGAAAAAGGGCCCTCTATCAATACCAACTCCCTCTAATCCGTCAGCACAGAGATACCAGAGATCTCATGACAATACTCTCTAGCACAGTAAGTCTATCTTCCCTCAATGTGCAGAATATCTGTGTTCGTCCTCCACACTAATACCACCGATCGCGACTGATTCTCAGTAGATAGACAATAACAGAGATCTACACATATGGTGTAAAGCTTCCTCCGCGACAGAGCTACCGAAAACCAATCCTTACCTTCTTCTTGGACTTCGACATGAGTTGCCTCAAGGTAACGAGAGTAGGGCGGCAAGGGGGTGGACGCTGTGTTTGCAAGCCTAGATTCCCCCTCCAGTTATGATGAACCCTACACGCTTGGGTTATGTTTGATAGTCATCGCGCTAGATACTATCTATCACTCGGCGCATTACACTACGCAAACAAGACAATATGCAGCACGTATACCAATACGCCAACGGGTACACGACTATGACGGGCTATGGCAGTGGCATTGAAAGTTTGAGGCTGCATGAGTCAACACGAGTCAGAGGAAAAAATACAACTTGGCATTAGGAACAGGTGAGGGGCAACTCTGCTAAGCCTCCAGTTAGGGACTGATGAAATTAGTGCTTTCTAGGCGGAGAATTGGCGATGTTAGACGGCCCTGTCCATCCTCGCCCGCAGAATAGTGGCTGCAGCGGACATATGGGGAATAGATCTAGAGGATGTGAGAGGTCATCACATATCACGCCCAGTCTGCTTCTTAGACGTTAGATGGTTGGCCATGCAAAAAGCCACAGCGTCCCTTGGCTGCAGCTCTCCTTCATATCAACTGCTCTAAGGCTGGTAGCACAATGTTACACGCATCCCCGTTCCCTGATAAGTGCGTCTATGCAATCAAGTTATTTATCTAGAGTATTCTTCAGTACCACAACGGTTGATTTCGTTGGCAGGCCAATGCTGAGCTTTTCTGACCTCTGGCCAGAAAATCTGCCTCGCACACCTAATTCATATTCTTTGCGAATCCTCTTTGTGTGTATCTAGAATGCCACACGTAAATGAATGCCACAGTAGGCAAAACTCTTGAATCCTCGAAACCACCACTGTCACAAATGTGCCGGGAACACTAGACATAATTCAGTGACTTGCTCTACCCCGCACGCGTACGAGTAGGAAGCTTACAGGTCGCAGGCCGAATAATCGGATGTTGTAAGGTTAGAGCTCAAGGGCCGCAGTCATTAGCTAGAGGTTCAATAAAGCATTATTTGAACCCTACTGGTCACTGGCGTAAAGCTGTAGCTGTGGTACTTAACACATTTTGTCTGCCGTGGCGTTCATTTGCGCGTGGTATTCTAGACATACAAAAAAAAAAAAAAACTCGTGGAATCGTAATCCCCCCCATAAACCGCAACTTATCATGTTGATAGTATCGCTCTAGGATAGGCATATATGTATCTATATCGCTGGCTGCGTTCCTCCTATATACCCAGACTCATATACAGAAGCATATAGCTATCCCATATTGGGTGAAAGAATGTGACTTCTACAATCGCCGATATATCAAAGATCTACATCCCAACAGTGACCATAATCTCGGCATACCAAGCCTTGAACAGACGCCTCCACAAACTACCCCACAGATCACCCTCAAGATAATTCTAAGCTTCAATCCCCTAAGCTGGCCGTCTCTCTGTGCCACTGATTTACAGATGTAATGGCATATTTTCTCCGGCACAGATTGAAATTACTATAATATTGATCATTAGAACTATCAATGTTTTCTTACTTGCCATGACGAAACGTGTCTCCCACTTCGATAATCCACACAGGAGTATAATATTTGTAATTCTTCTTGTAGACATGGGCGATGCTTTTGCTTTAGGTTAGATCCCGAGGGTCATCGTGATATTTAGACATAGAATATCACTCGGTTTATATTTTCAAGATGGCGCAACCCTATGCTGTAGCCAGATTTTTATTATTGATGGTATTCCGGCGCCGCAAATGCTAGGTAAAAAATCCCCGTTTCAGTCCATACTTTTCTCCGCCTTTTTCTCGTGATTATCCGTAGCGATGGGCATGAGCCGAGCGGCCTCGAGCTCGATCTTTAGACCCGAACCTGATAAAATATTAGTAATGATTCGAGAAAGACATAGCTGGGTGATTTATATGAAAATATATCCACCACTAGATCATTATACTCTACGGGTCTTCCGAAAGCCCTCTGCGAGTCTACCAGTGACAATTTTGATGGATAGGCTCATGTCTATCCCACAGATAGGTAGAGAGGAACGGCCTGGACAAGACCACCAGCTGGTCGTCCTCGTCAGACTCATTCGTCCCCTTTCTGAATTCCCATGTCCAAGGAGTCTGTACCTAAAATTCATATGTCCTCACTCAGTCAGTCGACAGATCTTCATCAAATCAAAGCAATGTGTTCCCCACCTTGACTCCCAAGACAAGCATCACCGAGTACTCCAGCTGAAGAAGCGTAGATAAGAAATAGAGTGTTATGGGGGTTCCACGGCCGGCTTTGCCGGCTGGACGTCGAGACTTTCATACTCCTGCCTCTGACGTTGCCGCATGCCCACTTTCTTCCTGAATTGCAGTCTGCTTCTGACCAGGGTGGACTACGCTCATATGGTATTAGCACCAGAACGGAGAGGAATAAGAGTTGGAGATGAAATGGTTGTGAGGTCTGTCGTTCTGACCTATGGTTGGTTTATGCTATTCTTGCGTGTCTAGCACCATACCAAATCTTGATGACCCCGCACTAGTTCGACACCACCCATCACTCGCACGCACCCCACATTCCACCAGGGCTTGGCACCCAACCATTCAAGCTCCAAGATATCTCGATATCGATGGCAGAATATTTCATGCAGAAATTTATTGGCGCGCAAAACCACAGTCGTTGTGAGCTACATCATGCCCAGACCTCCTGCCATTGGCCGGTTCAGCACAGGAAGGGCAAAAAAGTTTGGCGGCGTTTTTGCCCTTTCTTCCTGTACTCATCTGCAATTATTATTGATCAGTCCGTCAGTGAAAGATAGAGTACACCTATGCATTGCAGCTGCATTTTTGAATATGTGATTGCTGGAGTTGTAACTCACTGGAATCGCCCGAGCACATCAACGCAGCCTGCATGTTCTGTGTGGGGGCCATTGTTCGTCTTGCGAGACTTAACCGAAGAGCACTCGCTTGCTGGCTTGCTAGCTTGGTGACTGGTATGTATGTAGATTCGGTGCTCTTATCTGGAGGCGCTGGGTGTGGGTGCTGATGTTGCTGATGTTGATGCGGATGCGATGGGATGGGAGCGAGATGGGATGTTGTCTCGGTGTTAACGCTAGTTGGACACAAGAAATCACTCGGGTCTCGGGTAGCGTCGAATGAGCGCACCACACGACAGTAGCATGCGTTGACAGCTTCAAAGTTCCCCTCAGTACTCCCGATAGAATTTATACCCACAGAGAGGATAATTGCACTATAAATACAGGTACCCACTATAATACTTTCTGGCCGTACTATAGCGATAAAATTCATCACTAATGCACCATGCACCGCGAAAATACCAGTCAGAGCTACTAGCTAAACCCGTGATCAACATAAAATACGCTCCTCCTTCATCCAACTCCAGACCAAGAGCCGCCCTCTATAGCCATCTTGACCCGTAAAAAAAAAAAACCAAATCTTGCCATCACACCCTCTCTGACAATTTTCACCAGTGGCTCTCTCTCTCTCTCACTACCTACGCTCCCGTCAATCGAGCGCCTCCATAAATTAAAGGATCTATATACTTCCCCCCATAAACCACGCCAGCAGGAAACAGTACTGGGTCAGTATCATTACGGTCTAGTAGTGATGGGCATGAGAAAAGACGAGGCAAGAGTTTCTCAAGTCTTGTCTCGTCTTTCTTTGCCCAAGGTCTCAAGACTTAGTCTAGAGACATTATCTCGTGCCTATCACTATATATCATTACCTCCCCTCACACTCTCGATGTGAAATACCAGCAGACATTACCACCTACCTCATTCCTAGCTAATCGTTCATGTGGTTTCATCTCGAGAAAACGTTTTAAAGATGACCAGCAGCCCCAATTCCGCCATCCTTTCTATTCACGACGTCACCGCGGCCTGCGCCCCTTTGATCGTCTCCACCATTCTACAAGCACTGCCGCGATACTGAGAAATAGCATTGGCGCGGTCAAGCTTCAATCTGAACGGAGCGGTTAAGATAGTGAGGCGCACTATTCAGACATGCTACCGTTACCATAGATACTAGAAACGACCAGGCCAGACACAACGTATCACTCGAGCCCTCTAGTTTGCTACATTGCGCACCTCTCTACTCTAGCTACTACGCAACTCAACTCTAGCCACTACGCATTTCCACTAGCCACTACGCACACCTTGTCTACATGGGCTAGCTTTTGTCGATCAGTGCTTGCCTGAAATCACGATCCCCCCAACAATCAGTCTATTTAGCCTGATAGTGGGGGTTGAACGAATTCACAAAAAAATAAGAATCTCTAGCTCAGTCATGTATTTATTTTTATCTACCAGCCAAGAACCGCATTACAAAGAAAAAAAAGATTATCCCATTCACCGTCTAGCTCGCCGAGCAGACAAGTGTGGGTAATAAAGGAGTGTAGAAAAGAAAGAAATGAATGTCTATCATCATCATCATGATCACATAAAACCAACATGCTCGATTGCTATACCTGCTTGTTGAGCAGACAATCAAAAGCATTGCCAAACGGGCACTTCCCATCCTTATACTCATAGCAATCCACCCCATCACCCTTACGGTACCTACACGGCGGGCATGACTTCCCGGTACACGCCGCAGAGCTCATTCCTCCTTTCCTGCATGGTGTCGAAGAACACATATCCGCCGCTCCCCCATCACCACCACTACCACCGCTCCCCGCCGAAGGCCCTTGATGAGTTGATCCTTCCACCATTATATCGAAGCATGTCGTATACGTATTCACCCACTCGTTGTTATAATCCGTCTGCTTCCATCCAGGACCATTATTCAGAAATCCACGCTCGCCAGCCCATGCAAACACCATCACATGCCGTCCATTCTCCATATCAGCCGGCAGCGTAAAATGCATGTAGTTGGCGATATCATCTGGCCTCCCGTCAGGCAGCTTCCTCGTGATTGCCTCCGCTGAGAAGTTGGCTTGTGCACCAGGAAGCCAGTTGGCACTCGTCAGCTCGCTCTTTGGGCCAAACTCGAGTTCCTTAGCCCCCTTCCAGTATATACGGACGAGGCCAGGATCCTTGTTAGGAGGGAGCCCGAAGGCGTAACTGGTATGCCCGTTGCCCCAGTACCGCATCATGAGGGTCGCTCCTGGCTTGGCAGTGGTCATTGGCTTCCCAGGTGGATATTGGTTGGTTTGAGTAGGATTGCAAGCAAGGCCATTGGGATTGGTGTCTGGATGGTTCAGGTTCCAGGAATAGTGGGTGGATTCATCAACCCAATTGCCATCCAGAGCTTTATTTCTGGGGTAACCAGAGCAGACATTGTTAGGGAGAACGGTCCCAGGAGAGGAGCGGGCAGCATCGAGATTTGGGACTGTGGTAGAAACACATTCTATCCAAGTGTGAGCAGCAGTGGGGACTGTGAGAACTGCCAGCCCGAGGCCAAGAAGCGGAAGTAGCTGCATCTTGTGTTTTGAGGAGATGGAAAGATGTTTGTTGTTGAGCTTCTAGCTGGGGGTGAAATGTGGAAGAAGAGGTGAATTGCAAGAGCCCACCGGGGGAGAAGCAGAGATAAGTAGTCTCAGTGACAGCAGCAGGAGTAGCAGCAGTAACAGAGAAGGGCTGTCTGAGGATGAATACAATAGGTGGATCTGACGAGAATAGAAGGATTTAGCTAACTGAGCGGTGTTTTAATGCAGGTCAAGGCCAGCAGCTTGCAGTTAGGTTCGAGTGGAGTAGAGAAGAGAGCTCTACAGAACAGATGTGTGGGAAATTAACGATCGAAGCGGGATGTGTCACCTTCCTATAGGCATCAATTTATCTGCCCTATAGACGCCAGCTGTCCAAGACACTGGGGCGCAGAAATAGATTGATAGACTCACTAACGCAATTTCTTGAAGATCATTCAGGTACTCACCGGATAGAACATGAACATTCTTCTCACCATTGTTTCTTGAGACGCGCGCCCAACTAAGTAGGTACATGTATTCACAGCTAACTTCTTTCAAGATGTGTTCATACACTCCTTATGCTTATCTACAGAATGAAGAGGCTCATCTCAGATAGCGCGCGGTGTAGATACCCTCCCCACGTACTCCAAAGATGCCTCACTGATAATTCTTAATTTTCGATGAGGGTCGGCCCTCCTCTCTCCACCCCCTCCACTTTCTCCTCCTCATATGCACCAGTACCGTATTCAGAGACAAACAGAATGCACATAGAACGAATAGCTGTTCTCGTGGCTTTGTGCTTCTCGTCCTCAACTCACCACGTATTCCATCCCTCGCTAGAGTATGTACAATACATGGTATCTGTTTATCTCTCGCTTGAGGAAAAGACATACGCACATACCCACAGTCTGCAGCCTGCTCAGCTCGTTTGTTTTTTCTCCCCTTCTTTCACTCATCTGCTCTACCTATGGACGAAAAGACGTGGCTACCCGCACACCCACAGGCAGCCACACAGACGGTCTTAGACAGGGCCAGGAACCGTCATCGATAAGGATGCTTTTTCATGCGACAGGTTCTCCCATAGACATTCCTAGCCGGAAACATTATCCCCAATTTGGCCTCGCCGCCGCACAGCAGCAGGTGTTGACCACTCACATCAGATCGGGGCAGGGTTTCGTTTTGTTTCGCGGTAAAAACTTTATTCAGGTACCACGCAATGACGTGCAGACGGAAAAACAGCGCTGGAGAAACGGGGGGTAATGGAGACGAGGGGGAAAAGCCCCCACCTACCGAGCGAGCCGAATGCTTAGTCCCGGTGGGTTTTGTAGATAGAGTACATGTATGTAGCGATGAGTATAATACTCGAGAGCTCGGGAATGTCATGGAAGATGGTGCTCTTCTCGTACCTACATATTGTACATACCTGTTCCTGGCAGCGCTGGCTGTTGTTGACATGACCCTATTCAGGTACAGGAACAGCTGTTGTGGTTCCTGCAGCCGCCATGATCCATGTCCATTGGCCGTGTTTGGAGTTTCAGGCTCGATCATAGGTTGCCAGGCCAGCCAGTCGCTGTAGCTGTGCTTGTAGCTTCTTCTTCTTTCATCCTCAGCCGCAAAACAGAACTGCCATCGAGTAGCCGATTAGTTGAGAGTGCTTGAGAACCCAGCCGCTGTGCCGTGCTCAAGTCCGCTTTTGTCCCGGCTGCTTCCATCATGCGTCGAGTTGTTTGGAGTGGTATTTTGGGCTTGCCTCCTTTCGGAGTGTTGCCAAGAGGGTTATAAATAGCGCTGCTGCTAGTACGAATTAAAACGATCAATTAGTAGGGCGTCTTGGCGAGGACAGCCCCTGTAATCGAAGATAAGATAGCTGAGGTGATCATCGAGGGATGACTAGAATAGACCACATAGATATCCATGAGCCAGTCCTTTACATGCCAATCACGCCTTTTCCTGCACGGTTTCGGGAATCACCCCCGCAGTACTTTAATTTGAGCGTACCTACATAGACGAATCTAAAGCTTAGGTCTGCCCTATGCACTAGCACTGCACCCCCACCCTCTATCTCTAGCGACTCCTGGAGCAGACACTGACACCTATCGATATATACACTCCACATATATCACCTGCCTTCGAAATTTCCCCGTATTCTGCAGCTGGCCGAGATGCTTGCACAACCGAAAGCACCCGACGGGCTCAACTCTATTCGCCCGGGAGAGTATTGCAGGAACTAAAAAAGGGGGACGTGGATATCGATTCAGAAGACGCTCCACACCATCCTCTCTTCTAACATCAGGCTCCAACATGCCATGACTCCCCAACTTACTTTTTCCCAGCCTTATCGGAGGATATGTGGCAGTGGAAGTCCCGGAGCTCAAATAAACTGGGTTCTTTGGCCTTATGGGTTCTTCAGGATTTTGTTATAACATTCCTGCTAGACATATAGCTTGGCAGCATTTGGCGAGTTTGCATGTAGACTCTGCTGGGTACTTACTTAGCCGCATGTATAGATTCGACACGTTGCCGGGCTGGAGTCATAACCCCAGCTGCCGGAGAACCGAGAGCAGGGGTTCCCGACGTTGTGAGGTCAGCTGGTGGCATGGAAACTATATAATAGAGAGGTATGGATCGATATCTAACCTTCTATGCCTAGTCCCCCACTACATATTCTAGATGACATGACCGTTATCTATATCACGATAGCAATATGTAATACTCATCACCACCGCCACAGAAGGCCACAACATGGCCTGCACAGTGAGCGTTGCCACACAATGATATCATGATACAAGGGTGGAAGCAGCGCCTGAGGGATCCGGAGAAAGAAAGTTCAGTAGCAAGTAGCAAGGCTATGGCAGTGTGGGTCAGGATCTGCCCGCCTGGGTATACCTATGTGGCTTCGGCACCGGATAGGCCTGGTCATGGGTCAATGATATCTTAGGACAGGTTTAGGTATTCTCGGCGAGTGGAGATATTCTTCGGTCGATATATATTGGCTGGCCATGCATGGATGTTGTGAGTTTTTGCAACACCTTCTTTTGAATAATTGAACAGTATATACTTTATGTATCAGGTGTTTAACTTGGGGCTTGGTCGCTCTTCCGGAGTACGTGGACCAGGTTGATCATGAATGTGGATGGATATGGCTATTTTCATGATTGCCTTTCGTGAACGATCAATAGATTGCGCAGGGGTAGTATGTGATAACTAAATGACCTTGATTTGGGGTCTATGTTTACATGGCAGTTTTATTGTCGGCAATATTGCGTTTGATAGCGTTCAATTCACATACCAATATGTATAGCAATTGATATAAGAGGTCACGTCATAAACCACCGAGATATTTTATTAAAGGACATACAATTATAATGAAGGCGCAGTTATTCTCAAATAACATGATCGATCATACAATACCAAAATTGGGGTTTGGGATGGTAGGGTAGTGATATGGTAGCACTGCCGTGATGGGTATTCTCAGGACAGCGGCATCATTTCAGAATTTCGAGGAATATATTTTTCATAAAATACCGTAGCAATACCATAGCAATACCATAGCACTACCACACCAATATAGGCCTTTTAACATGCCATGTATGTTAATAACCTAGGGGCCGCAGTACACTGTGACCAGGAGCAGGTCCAGCGTGCTAGCACCAGGTCCAGTGCTCCAGTAGTACTAGGTCCAGGACCATTCGCACCTAGGCGCGTCCCATCATTACATATCATCATCATCATCATCATCATCATCATCACGAGCTTATCATGACTGAATGGTATATGTAATCCCTATATCTACATAATTCATCATTTTCTTAATTAAAATCACGGGTATATGTGTGCCTACAAACCCAAAATTTATTTTTCAAAAGTATATCCCAATTGTTTAAAGCCCATCCTAGGAAGATGAGAATTGATGGATCGGTGGATGAAACAATATCTGGTGATCTTTGATTCTGAAATGCTTCACCAAATATAATATTCCAGGGTTAGGGGAATAGCATTGCCCTAAATACCACAAGAATGCCGTATTTTGGGAAATGCGGAAGCACTAGAGTAGTATAAACTTACCACCCACACTACGCAATCCAGGGAATACGTAGATTATATAATACAGCATTGATACAGCATCGATAGAGCATTTGCTGAAAGGCAGCTTTACTTTTTTCAATACTGGAGTGCTACCGGATTTTCTAAAATGAAGATAGTACTACCGTACTAACCCCCACCCGTTTTTTAGTACTATAGTTACAGAACTCCTAACTCACAAACCGTGTACCCTACCCTTTTCAGAAAGCGTACCCCACCGGCGTTTTCAACGTTTTAGCACATGTCCTAATGGATATAGTCTGCAGAGAACATTAACGTACCGCAAACCCCTCTCTAAATCCTCCCAAACCTCATCATCCACCACTAACCATATCCGATTCCCTTTTTTCCCACTACCACATGACCAAGATATAACCTAGACATTGTAAAAACGTCCTTGGTAATTTAAAAGCGTGTCGGCCAAAAAATATAACTTTGTAAGACTTTTTCCCTCCTTGCTTATCCAATGAGGTATTCGGGTCTCACTCTCTAAATCTCTCTTTAATGAAAGCAGATCTCTTATTAAGTTTGCGCAATACCCTAAATTAGGGTTAGGGTTTCTGGCAAAAATAAAACAAAACAATTAACCTTTTTCATTTCCGTTGTTATTCTTATTCTTTCGTTCCTATTCCTCCTGTTCTTCGCATTCTTCTTATATACAGCCTGTGATATATTATACTAGGCGCTCGATATACGCAGTATACTCGAGGAGATGTAAGTGCTGCATGCAACACATTGGCTGGGCTAGTAAAAATATATCACCTCTCGACTTAAGAAGGCTCCCAAGTTGCTTCGAAAGTGTCCTACGCCGAATTATCCGAATTCAACCTCCCCTCCGTTGACTACAATTCAATAGTGACGGTACCGGGTAGGCCGGTTACCTATAGCTTCAGGGTTATTTAAAAACGAAGATCCTTTATATCCCTCCCTGC